GGTGGCTAATGCTTGTGAGAACAAAGATGGGAGTTACAGAGGAGTCGGGCGCAGGCAACGGCTTAAGGAGGCCAGAAGGAAAAGCCACTGGCTGTTTTGGAGGGGAATCCAGAGGTTGGATACTTCGAAGAGACTGGACTATAACGTTCGGGCTTTGAAGAGTGATTAGGAGTTTGCAGGAAGGGCTCAGTAAGCAGGACTTACTCATTTGTCGTTACTACTAACGCTGGCTTCTTCACTGGAGAAAACCCGCATAGGGTTCAGGGCACAGCCTCGGAGCTAGGTGGCCCGGGTTCAGATCCCAGTGACATGGTTATTAAGTGGGAGACTTGGGGCAAGTGGTTTAACTTTTCTGTGCCTCCCGTCGGTCAAACAGCGATCATAATCGTCTCATACTCGGTCTGTATTTTGAGTCCTTCGTCCCAGACGTCGTGCGGATCTCATGTCTGTTTAGCCAGTTGCTTTCATCCGAGGGTGTACCAGACAGAAACTGGATTTGTGCGGATGACCAGGCAGATAACTAGGAGAAGGGTGTTTGAGGCAGAGGGAACGATTCCAGGAGCCCTGTGGCTTGCAAGGGCCTGGCGGATGCGAGGACTGGGGAGGTGGTGGCGGTGGGAGGTGGCTGGAGCCGAGAGTAGCAGGGACCTGACCGGCCTGGGCCGCTAACACCCACAGGGCTCTTTGTGATGGACGAGGACGCCACACTCCAGGACCTGCCCCCCTTCTGTGAGTCGGACCCCGAGAGCACAGATGGTAAGAGTCCCAGGCTGTCCCCACCCCTGGGGGGTGCTGGGATGAAGGCAAAGGCAGAGGCTGAAGTCTGCCCTCTCTCCCAGATGGCAGCCTGAGTGAGGAGACCCCTGCTGGCCCCCCAGCCTACTCAGTGCCCCCGGCCTCAGCCTTGCCCACACAGCAGTATGCCAAGTCCTTGCCCGTGTCCGTGCCCGTCTGGGCCTTCAAGGAGAAGAGGACAGAAGCACGGTCATCGGATGAGGAGAATGGGCCGGTGAGGAGCAAAGGGGAGGCGAGGAGAGGAGGGTGGAGGGAGGGACTCAGAGCCACTTCCTCCAGGAAGCCCTCAGGGATGGAAGCCACATTTCCTAGGATTGATCTTGCCCTCCACCTCCTGAGGCAGGTTTTGGGGCCAGAACCCTAAAGGTTTAACAGTTGAAGCCTTACAATGTACCCCAGTGCCTTGCAGAGAAGGTCTCTTCTAGGTTTTCAGGAACAGCTTCATTTACAGAATACTTGCTCCAGCCAAGACACGGATATTTTGATATCCCTTCCAGAAAGGGAAACTGAGGCTCAGAGGGGTTAGATCACCTTCAGTCCCCACCCTGCATGTTCCTGGCTCTTCCTGGAATTTGCCCCTCCCGCACCGCCTCCCATCCAGTTCTCCCTGTGGCCTTCATGGGCTGGCCTGGGTGGCTCTTCCTCACCTAGCCCTGAACCTCCCCGAGGCACAGGGAGTATCTGTGACTTTCCCAAGACCTCAGCTTGGGAGGAGCAGGGCTGGGATTGGAACGCAGCCTCCTTTCAGAAAGGAGTTACAGATGGCAAGGGTGGAGGCCCTGCGGTCTCATGGTCCCCTTCCCCTTGGTGCCTCTCAGGGGGCTCATTCACACAGTGGCAGCCTCCATCCGCTGCTGCTGCTGCTATCTGCGCTGCCCCTGGGGGAAGCCCAGTTAACAATGTTTGAGGCCCGAGTGGTGGCGCTGGGCTGGTCTCTGAATGGGCGGAGGTCCAGCCTCTGTCCATGGCCTCTCCCATTCTGGGGAATGCCGGACCCAGCTCAAGGCGTCAGGCCATCCGGGAGATTGCACTAGCTGCTGGGGCTGCGGACAGGATGACAGGGCCCCTCCTTGGGGGAGGCCAACCAGAAGAGGGATCCTTTCCCTACAGCGCGGGCAGCATGGTAGTGGACAGTACTTGAGCAATCACTGTGCTGATTGTCTCAGGCTCTCTCATCAGCCCCGCGTTTTAAAAGGGGAGACCGAAGCCTCAGGAGATGAAATGCTTGTTGACAGCTAGCCGGAGGCAGAGGCCTGATTGTTGCGTGACTCAGTGCCAAGCCCAACCCAAATCTTTAGACCTGACTCTTCTCTGGATGCACACAGCCTTGATGGTCAGCAGAGTGATGGTCACCAGAGCAGCATAGTTCCGCTGTGTAAGAAGGAACTGGAAGGGCAGTGGGACAGGTGGCTGTTCTTGCACATAGAGTCAGGCCAAGAAGGGGAGGAGAGGGGCAGGAAGGCTTCATGGAGGAGATGGTGTTTTGAGTTTGGTAGGAGGATCTTACGCGGAGTAAGTCAGGGTAAGGGGCCTTCGTGGGTGTAGGCAAAGTGCTGGGGCGGGAGTGGGGGAGGGGTGGGGCGAGGGCGGAGCCGCAGCGGGCGCTGACCCCGCCCCGGTCCCGCAGCCCTCTTCGCCGGACCTGGACCGCATCGCGGCGAGCATGCGCGCGCTGGTGCTGCGGGAGGCCGAGGACACCCAGGTCTTCGGGGACCTGCCGCGGCCGCGGCTCAACACCAGCGACTTCCAGAAGTTGAAGCGGAAATACTGAGGCCGGGGGAGAGCGCTTCCCGGCCCAGCGTCCGCCCCGCCCCACACTACACCCCTGCCCCGCCCCCGGGGCCGGCCAATCCGAGTCCGACCCGGGACCGGCCTCTCAGGTCCCCCGGGCCCCGGGATTGCCCCCTCCCTCCCAATCCCTGCCGTCCTTCCCTCCACGACCCTCTCACGCGCCGAGGAGCGGGACCTATCTAGTTTCCCTATTGGGTTTGTCGCCGCTTTCTTTGCCCGGCGACAGATTCGTTCGATTAAGGGATTGGGTCGCTCCCAAATCGGGGCGTGGCTAGTTTAAAGCCCTCGCAGGGGTTGCCCGTCGTTTTTTTGCCTAGCAACAAGGGCTTTGCCCGCGCGGCATTGGTTGAAAGAAAACAGTCAAGCCCCAGGATTGGGTAGTGGCAAGCCAGTTCGGCCTAGAGAATGGGCAACTCCTTCATTTGATTGGCTTGAACCCAAAGGGCTTAACCAATATCCTGGGAGTAGCCATCCCCCCCCCCTTCCTGGGTTTTCCCCGCCTGATTGGTTCTAGCCTCCTGAGGGCGTGGCCAAACCTTCCTCCAGTACCCAGGATTGGCCTGCGGCCTTAAATTTACGTTCTTTACACTACTGGGACTGGGGTCGTTTCTGACCGAGTCCTGACTACGTACCCCTCTGCCCCCTTCCAGGGCTGGCCCAATCCTGTCCCTGCATCTGACACCCTCTCATTGGTTCCATCCCATAACAGCCTGCCAATCGTAGTCCCGTCCTTGCACCCAGGACGGCACCAGCTCCCGCCCCTCTCCCCCCACCCCCACAGGTGCCTTAAAGGGCCCTCGTCCACCCAAGGTGGGGGGCAGGGGCCCTCGCTCTCCGGCCCTTGTGTGGGGGAGAGAGTCGTGGGTGGGGATCGGGAGTTGGGAGGGGTGGTCTGAGATTAAAGAGTTTTATCTCTGACAAATGAGTATAAAGCGTGTTCATTCAACAAACACTTTGTGAAGCCGAAAGAGCGGCATCTCACTGATTTTTTCAGTGCAAAGCTGGGAGTTGGAATTATTGTCCCCATTTTACAGACAAGAAAAGAGATTCATGGGGTGTGAAGGAAGAATTCCAGTCCTATGTGACCATTAATCTCCAATCTTCTGGGGGACGAGTGTTGGAATGTGAATGGTCTTTAAGGAATCAGTGTTCTGAGTCCACATAGTCCCCAGCAAAGCCAGGAACGTCCAGCTGAGGCCGGGAGTTTTCTGCCTAATACAAGACAGCTGAAGATTAGAGAACAAATGGCACCTGGTGCGATGTCTGGGTCGGGTCAAGTAAACCTGGAATCTTCCTCTCCCATCAGGGAGATGGGAGGAATGCTAGCAACAGACAAGACTTAAAGGGAGAGCTGCCAGCCAAACACTTGTATAAAGTTATTTACATCTACTAACTCCTTTAATCATCCTAGTAACTCCATGAAGTGGAAACTATACCCTCTTTAAAGATGAGAAGGGGCGCCTGGGTGGCTCAGTGGGTTAAGCCGCTGCCTTCGGCTCAGGTCATGATCCCAGGTCCTGGGTTCAAGCCCCACATCGGGCTTTCTGCTCAGCAGGGAGCCTGCTTCCTCCTCTCTCTCTCTCTGCCTGCCTCTCTGCCTACTTGTGATTTCTGTCAAGTAAATAAATAAAATCTTAAAAAAAAAGATGAGAAAATTGCTGTACTGAGGGTCAGGGCTACTGTCTGGGGACTGACAATCATCCTCAAGTGGCAAAGTTTCTTCCCCTGAAACTAAGGGAAAGAATGTTCAAGGTGTATAGAGGAAAATCTGTGAACAGAGGACCCACACCCCCTACTGGACGGAGCCTCTCATTGCTGCAGGAGAGATGAAGGTCAGAGCCGCTAAGCCGCAGTCGGGGCGGGGCTTCTGTCGGGGGAGGAGCCAAGGCCCTGCCCCCTGCCCCCTTCCGGAGGGCGAGTCATTTCCGTCCGCCGAGGAACAGAGAAAGCAACCGGCGGAGTTGCGGGCAGAGCGCCTCGGGCAGGAATTCCCTGGTCGCAAGTGGCAAGTGAGCTCCGGTTGGGACGGTGAGCGCAGGACCGAGTCAGGGGTGCGCGCGAGCTTCTTGGCCTTTGCCCTGGAATGTTAGGGTCGGGTTCGCCGCGGGACTGAGCGGGGCGTCGTCGCCTGGGAAACGGCGCGAGCCGGCGACAGGCGAGAGGGTGGGATTTCCGGATCCTTCAGCGGAAGAAGGGAAATTCTTCTTCGAGAAATTATTCGCCCGGGGGGCGAGAGGAGGCGGGACTTCCTGTAGCAATTTGAGAGCGACCTGCCACTCAAACCTGTTTACCTGTTTCCCTTCAGGCTGGCGCCCGGGATGGCCGAGGTGGAGGCCCAGGGCCGCCTGTGGCTGGAGAGTCCCCCTGGGGGCGCGCCCCCTATCTTCCTGCCCTCAGATAGACAAGTCCTTGTCCTGGGCCGGGGACCCTTGACCCAGGTTACCGACCGGAAGTGCTCCAGAAACCAAGGTGGGCGGGGCCGGAGCTGTGGGGGGTGTGGCCCGCTGCTGGCGCGGGAACTCCGTCTTGGGGAAAGGGGGACAGCCAGTCCAGTAAAAGGGAGCTGCTTGGCCACCGGGCTGGATCTAGTCCTGAAGTTGGTAGGTGCCCTCTGGGGAGCATAGAAAGAGAAATGCTGTGCCTGATCTGGAACTAGCCAGACCCCTTAGTGGGGAGGGGTGGAGCCAATCCCGAGACAGTTCTCAGAGGAGGATGCTCACAGGTCACCGTGAAGGTTTGAGTCAGGTCACGACCCTTCCCAAGGAGAGAGCCCATCCTTTAGTACTTTTAAGTACTTGTTTTTAAGCAGAGCTGGGGGGTAATGGGCGAAGCCGAGGACCTGCATCTAGCCACGCGCGTCATCGAGGAGAAGCCAGTTCTATACAGAAAAATGCCCGCCCTGCTCCTAGGCGAGAACCGCCTCACAGGCAGTCCTGAGGCCTCTGATTACTGCATGTCAAGGAGACAGCCGATCCCATTTGAAAATAAACTGCTTTCCCTCCCGAGTGGGATGTAGCGTCCCCATCGCATGGCCTGAAGCTGGCCATCCTCCCAATAGTGGGGAAGGCACTCGCACAAGGATGCACATTCTGACTCCACACTCTCAACCCTCAGTGGAGCTGGTCGCAGACCCCGGGACCAAGACTGTGACAGTGAAACAGGTACCAGTTCCTCGGCAGGTCTGGGGGTGGCGGAATGGCAACTCAGCAGGTCCATTGGAAAGACCTGGTTTGGAGGGGAGCGGGTGTGGCGAGTAGAGAAGATCACGTAGAGCTGCCGCTTCAGCCGGTATCCATCCACATTTAAAGTGGATAAGACTGGAGCCTGTAACTTTCACGCATCCCTGATTGGTGGTATACAGTGGAAAGGCGGGGCTTACCGGTCTGATTGGCAGGTGGGGAAAGGTAGTCCTTGGCCGGGGGGGTTGAATCAGAAGGGCTGTTGGTTCAGGATGCAGTCAGTCCCAGCTCCTCCCTCTCCTTCTGCAGCTGGGAATTAACCCCTCAACTGCTGGGACCCAGGAGCTGGCTCCGGGGTCAGAAGGTTCTCTGAGGTTGGGGGACACACTGTATTTGGTCAACGGCCTCCACCCGCTAACCCTGCGCTGGGAAGAGGCCCGCACGCCTGAATCCCAGCAGGACACTCCGCCCCGCACCCCTCCGGTGGCTCCAGACGTGGCACAGGATGTTGAGCCGCAGAAAAAGCGGATGCGAAAGTCATCCCCGGGCTGGGAGAAGTTCGAGAAGCTGCTAGTGTTTACTGCACCTGGGGTGAAGCCCCGCGGCAAGGTGAGGCGGAGGGAGCCACACAGACTGCCCCCCGCCCCCCGCAGGTCCTTCAGCCTCCCTTAGCTTCTGCTTTTTTGTGAAGCAAACCTGATGACAAATTCAGGGGATATTGTAAGCCTTGAGGAAATCGATGTCTATCAGCCCCTGCCTGACCCACTGAAACCGCAGGAGGGAACACCCATCATTTTAGCACAGGTCCGGAGCCTCGAGCTCATGGGGCCCCAGGCCACCCGCTCCGAGCCCCACTGGTCTCACCAGTAAACTGATGAGCCGGAGAAAAGCTCGTGGCGCCTCCTCGACGCGGGGTTAGCACCTGAGCAACTTCACTCTTGTTTTTATTTTCCCAGTCGGCCTTCTGAGGCGGAGGCCAGAGGAGGTGGGTGGGTAGGACGTGAACCCCATTTTAAAACTGCCAGCCCTGGGGCTTCGAAGGAGTAGGAGACGGTACAGTGTAGATCTCAGGCTGTGCACTCCGGGAGGGGCAGGGACCCATCTTTGCCGTGGACCTTCCTTCCGTAAGATGTGCGGGTGCTCTGTGACTCAGTTTCCCCTTGGGTGACAGGTGAGTGGTAACATCTCTACCTTGCAGGGGTGACGTGACGCAGCCTGTGAGCCCGGGGATCAGAGGCATAACAGGGTTGATGTTCCTCTTTTCTTGTTGACGTCAGGTGGCCGGCTTTGATCTGGACGGGACCCTCATCACCACACGCTCTGGGAAGGTCTTTCCCACTGGCCCCAGCGACTGGAGGTGAGAAGAGGCAGAACAAGATGGGCAGTGAGAGTGAGGCTGGCACCCCCCTCCCCACCCCGTGGGGCTCCGGGTCACCCTTCTGCTTTCCCATCCGCCCCAGGATCTTGTATCTCGAGATTCCGCGGAAGCTCCGGGAACTGGATGCCGAGGGCTACAAGGTGTGTGTGCTTCTGCGTGCGGTGACCGGGTCGCAGGGCAGGCCGGGGCTCTGGTGAGGAGGGCGTCAAGTGACATCCCTGTGCTCCCCAGCTGGTGATCTTCACCAACCAGATGGCCATTGGGCGTGGGAAGCTGCCAGCAGAGGAGTTCAAGTCTAAAGTGGAGGCCGTGGTGGAGAAACTGGGGCTCCCCTTTCAGGTGTGGCTGCAGGGGAGTCTGAGGGCCATGGAGGTGGAGGGATGGGGACCTAGAGGGAGGGGCAGAGAGGAGGAAACAGAGACCGAGGGAGAAGGTACAAAATCCAGGGGGAGGTGAGGGGGAGGGCTGGGGACCCTGGGAGCAGCCAGAGGCCCTGGGCGGTTCTGCTGACAGAAACCCCGTATAAATGGCAGGTTCCCGGGCACCGGGAGCTCTCTGGGTTGGTGAGGATTGGGGCAGCATCCCTGGCACCCACGTGCCCTCGAAGGATTACAGGAACGAACCCAGGATGGTGTCTGACTTCCGCCCACAGGTGCTGGTGGCCACGCACGCCGGCTTGTACCGGAAGCCGGTGGTCGGCATGTGGGACCATCTGCAGGAGCAGGTGAGTGGCGGCCTCCCCCCGGCTCCCCTCTTCCCTCACTCAGCCCAGGCTCCCCCTGCAGGTCTGTGGGTACATGAGGGCGGGACTCCTGAACCCTGAAGACCCGAGTGGGTGGGCAGGAGATCACACGTTCGTGCGTTCTTCTGTGTGTGCGTTTGTTCTGAAGCGCGACGCTGAAGGTCAGCGTACAGGACAGACGTGCTGGGCGCTCACGTACCCGTAAGGGCGCAGGCTGTGGATGCAGACGGGTGTGTGAGCTAGCAGGAGGGCTGAAGCGAGGGATGGCAGGGTTTACCTACGGTGGGCAGGTCATGCCTTTCCCAGGTGCTCTCGGAGGTCTGCAGCTGGGGAGGGAGGGAGCCACGTGGGTAGCTAGAAGAGCGGTCTAGGTCGGAGTAGCTGCAAGTAGAAAGGTCCTGAAGCAGGGCTGTGACTAGTGTGTTCTGTTCCGGGACCATGAGGTCTGGGCAGCTGGAGCTTAGTGGATGATGGGATGAGGCTGGGGCATGAGGTCAGAGAGCTGGCAGGTGAGAGACTGTGAGGGGGGCCTCAGGTAAGGGTTTCCCTTTTACCAGCCCAGGAGCAAAGGGTGCTCAGGAGGGTTGGGAGGGGAGGAAGCTCGGGAAGTAGGAACTGGCACCCTCTGGTGGCCGAGTGAGGAACAGACGGGTGAGGGCAGAAGCCCAGAGCCCAGAGCCCAGCCGCCTGGATGGACAGTCCAGGTCCAGGTGGTGGCAGTGAAGGAGGGAAGGGGCCTGACACAGGGCACAGACAGAGCGGAGCAGCCCCATGGCACCCTGTAGTATTCCAGGGGAACAGATGCGGGAGTGGCGTCCTTAATGCCTACGGGCTTCTCACTTGTCCCTCCCAGGCCAACGAGGGTATGCCCATCTCCATCAGGGACAGTGTCTTCGTGGGAGGTAAGGACCCAGGGCTGGGGAGAGTGTGGATCCCCCAGGGCCAGGGACTTCTGTCCCCAAGGTCGCTGGTGACATGGGGGGTGTCTCCTGTGTCCCAGATGCAGCTGGACGCCCAGCCAACTGGGCCCCTGGGCGGAAGAAGAAAGACTTCTCTTGCGCAGACCGTCTGGTGAGGCCCCTGTCCCCTCCTTGCCAGGAGCCGTGTCCCCACCTTGTCTGACGTCTGTGCCCCCATCCCCAATCCTCACCCAGTTCGCACTCAACCTTGGCCTGCCCTTCGCCACACCGGAGGAGTTCTTTCTGAAGTGGCCTGTGGCCGGCTTTGTGCTCCCGACCTTTGACCCGGTGAGGCTCTAGGGACAGGAATGGGGGGCGTGGGGGATGAGGAGGGGGTCACACTCGTCCTGTCCATCTCTCCCAGAGAACCATCTCTCCCTCGGGGCCGCTCTACCTCCCTGAGTCCAGCTCCCTCTTGAGCTCCGACCCCGAAGTGGTGGTCGCCGTGGGATTTCCTGGGGGTGAGACACTCTGACTCCCAACCTGCAGAGGCCCCAGCCCGGTTCTGGGAGCTCAGGCCCCCCCTGACCCTGCCCCTGCTTCACAGCTGGCAAGTCCACCTTCCTCCAGGAGCACCTCGTGTCTGCGGGCTACGTCCACGTGAACAGGGTGAGCCACCGCACCCCCAGGCTACGGGCAGGGGCACCCGAGGTCCTTCCACCCCTGCCCGCCCCCCGCCGACTGTGGGCTCCTCACCAGCTTCCTGCTTCCCCTGCACCTCTGCCGTCCTCCCTCCTGCAGGGTCTCCCCACACCCTCATCCTGCTGTATCCCTGCCCCCCCCACTTAGGGTGTTGCCTCATGTCCCCTAGGACACGCTGGGCTCGTGGCAGCGCTGTGTGACCATGTGTGAGAACGCGCTAAAGCAAAGGAAACGGGTTGTGATCGACAACACCAACCCAGACCCTCCGAGCCGGGCCAGGTACGGGGGTCCCAGGGTGGCCTCTGGGCAGGGGGAGGGGTGGTCAGGGCTCCTGACCAGCCTGCCACCTTCCCGGCCCCGACAGGTACATTAAGTGTGCCCGAGGCGCAGGGGTCCCCTGCCGCTGCTTCCTCTTCACCACCACCCTGGAGCAGGCTCGCCACAACCACCGGGTGAGCCGGCCTGCACCCCTGTGTCGCGCTCCCCTCCGTCCCCCCAGTTCCCGGGCCACCCTTGTGACCCCCGCTCCCCCACCCCCCGCAGTTCCGAGAGATGACGGGCTCCTCCCACGCCCCTGTGTCAGATGTGGTCATGTACGGCTACAGGTAAGCAGCCTCCCTGCAGGGAGGCCCCAGGAGGTGGGGGTGGGGGGGGCCAGCGGGGCGCTGGGCCCGGTCTCACGCCCCCTCGCACCCCCTGGCACCAGAAAGCAGTTCGAGGCTCCGACCCTGGCGGAAGGATTCTCGGCAATCCTGGAGATCCCGTTCCGGCTGAATGTGGAGCCCGCGTTCGAGCGCCTGTACTCCCAGTTCTCGGAGGGCTGAGCGCCCCCCACCTGTCCCTGCCCCTTCCCCTACCTCCACCCCCACCCCCAATAAATCCTGTTTTTCTTTATGCTTGAGCAGCACTGTGCTGGGGAGGAGGGTCTGCTCAGGACAGGCAGGGCTGGGGCACTGGGCTGCTGGCCTGCCCACAGAGGGCAGTTTAGGCTTCTCAGACCCATGGCTGTGGGCACCCTAGACTGAGGCTGGGGAACCCCCAAGGAGGTGGAGGGAGCTCTTCCCTGCCTGCGGCTGCCCAGCTACCGAGCCAGCCGAGGCTCGAGCGATGGGACCCTGAGGACGCGGGCTGGCCCCCCGTTTGGTGAGTGAGAAACCGCATCCTGGACTTGACCTCAGGGGGGTGGCCTGGAGCTGAGCAGTGGCGGGGGGGGGGGGGGGGGGGTCCTGCTACTGTCGGGCCCAGCCTGTGTGCTGCCAGCCAGGTGCAGCCTGATGAGCCCACAGGGACGGAGGCGAGGAGACCGGGTCCCAGAACACGGCCGGCCGGCTCTAGGGAGGACAGGCCACCGGCCACAGCTCACCAGGGACGGACCAGCCACTGAGGGCAGCTCCATGAAGTATGTGGTTCCCTCCCGGCTCGGGTGACTGATCTCAGAGGTGGCCTCCCTCCGAAATCCGTGAGAAACGCGCATTCCTGGTTCCCTGAGAAACGTGCATTCCCGGTCCCCGGCAGCTCAAAGACTCAAACCTGGGGGTGGGCTGGGCTCGACCCCCCCCCCCAACTCCCAAGGCATCTGGACACAGCCTGGTAGCCATTGGGCTTTTAAAAGACTTTATTGGGGACACGTACAGGGGTGGGGACCGTCCTTGGAGACCTCTCCGGCCGCGGTCCTCCATCTCGCTGGGCAGCTGCCATCCCCAGGGGCCCCTGCTCTGAGGCATCTGACCTGCGGGCAGGAGGATCGTGGGAGGGGCTGGCCCGGGCACCCCACGGCTCATGGCCTTGAAACCGCAGCTCTGTCACCTCCTGGGACCAGTGGAATTGGACCTGACTCTCTGCTCTGGTCTCAAGGCCAGGGAGGGCCACACTCTGGCTTCCTAAACTCCACACCCCCCAGGGAGCTGGGAGCCACTCACCAGTTTCGGCAGGGGCCTCGTCTGTGACTCCTGGAGGGGCCCAGCCTGGGGGTGGCCACTACCCCCCCATCTGCGGGGAGGAAGGCAGGGAGGCAATGTCAGCAGCAGGGACGGTGCTGGGGGGCAGGGGAGCTGGGAGGTGGGGGCTGGGGGGGCAGGGAGCCCGGCCTCACCCCGCGCTGCTGCTGCTCCTGCTCCAGGTTCCGCTGCAGGACCTGCTGCTGGTTGGCGATGACGCGCCGGATTCCATTGACGAAGTTGCTCTGGTCGTGGGGGATGAGGCCGATGAAGATCTTCTTCTCCGACGAGTACAGCAGCATGAGCACGCGCACCTCGCACGACGCCTTGTAGGAGAAGTGCACGCAGCCGGCCTGGGGGGCGCAGCGGACACTCACCCACACAGGCCACCTTGTGCCAGCGCATCCTGACGGCTATCCTCGCAGCCCTGGTGTCACTCCCACTCGGGGACCCATGGACTCTGCATCAGGGGGCCCTGAAGTTGGCAGCACCCACGGTCAAGCACCCCACTGGCAGCGAGCACCCCACTGGCAGCGAGCACCCCACTGGCAGCGAGCACGTAGGGCGGCCTTGACCTTGACTGACAGCAGCACATGAGACGCACAGGCCCTGCAGCCCCCAGAAGCCCAGCCCTACAGCCCCCCACATGCAGCCCTAGAGTGGCCGAAGCCCCGTAGCCCTCCACAGCCAACGTGGCCACCGCACTGCCAGCTTGGGGAGTGGACCAAGGGCTCCAGCTGTTACACCGACCCCTGCTCCCCCTGGCCCGGGGTCCCCACCCCCACCTTGCAGGTGATCAAATGGAGCCAGAGGGTTCGCAGGCCCCTGGCGCCAAAGGGGCTCTGCGGTCCCTCTGTGCCCCTTCGGGGGACAGCTGTGGCAGCGGTGGCCGGTGGAAGCCCTTCCTGAGTGCACCGACCGAAGCCCGCAGCAGAGTGCAAGGACCAAAAGAACGCGAACTCTGAACGTGGCAGAGACCCTCGCCCGGCGGTGATCAGTCCAGCTGCGGGACAGACGCTGGCCAGGTGCCGCGACACCCACAAGAATGCAGTGACCGCTGCACTTTCCTTAGCCCTGGAGGATACCTGCCTCCCCTCACTGCTGGAGAAAGTGAGGCCAAGACCCCCTGGCAGAGAACCCAGTGCTCTGAGGGCCCCGGCTGGAAGCAGACAGACCTCCCTGCCTGGCAAGGCGTCCGGGGGAGCCTCGAGTTTTCAATGGTAAACCTGCAGGCCAGTGGCTCCCTATCCCCAGGGAGAGCAGGAACCTGGGAGCACCGGGTCTGCGCTCCGTGGTATCCGCCCCTCCGTGCTCTGAGTGAACCCGGGGCCTGCCTCTGGGCCTCAGTTTCCCCATCTGTAAAGTGGGGTCAGGACCGCAGAGCCCCAAGGGAGTCCATGGACTAGGAGCCAGCACGTGTCCAGACGCAAGGCCAGCCTATGGCCACCAGGGCCACCATGACGCCCCCCCCCCCAGCTGGTGTGGAGAAACGATCCCTGTCACTCATCTCCCGGCCCCACAGCCCGCACCACACTCACAAAGCCGTTGTCCATGATCCGACACAGGCTCTTCAGCGTCTCCAGGTCCTTCGTGAAGTGGAACTGCACCAGGCGCGAGTTCCGGAACAGCGGCACCAGGGTGGTCTGCGGGCCAGCGGGGCAGCTCCGTGACCGGGGGCCCTGCCTCTGCGGTCCCCACACTGTGGCGGCACTGACTTACAACCTCAGGTCCTGTGTGGCCCCCCAACCCCAGCCACTCTCTGCGTCCACCTGCCTGTGCTCGTCACGCCGGCCAGCCACAGGGCCCTTGCACTTCGGAATGTTCTCCATCTGGCAACCCCAGGGTCTCGTCCCTGGGGAAGCACCGTGGCCAGCCCGAGGGCCCCTGCTTCACACTCACCAGTAGCTGCTGCGGGATGAGCTGCATGTACAACTTCCTCGGCCACTGCTCGGTCCTCCTGCGGGGGGCCCCAAGGGGATGAGGGTCACGAAGCTGGGTCTCGCTGGGACCCTGCCTTGGCCTCCCGGCCCCCCTGCCCCCCACTCACAGGATCTCTCCTTGGTTCACGTAGACATGCGAGGGCAGCCACCTCTTGGACCGACTGTTGGGCTCAGGCCTGGGCTTTTGGGGAGAGGAAGAAGGTGACATCAGGAGTGGGGAGGTACCCCAGTCAGGAAGGACACGCTGGTCTCGAGGTCACCCAGGACCCCCCACCCCAGACTCACCTCCTGCCACTCCATGACGCCGCTCCATGCCAGGAACTTGTTGTTGACAATCTGAACCGGGCCCGCGACACCGCCAGGGCCCACGGCCTGTGGAAGCAGAAAAGGGGGCCTGGTAGCCAGAAGCACCCCAGAGGCGGCCACTGGGCAGCCTCCCAGCCGTCCATGAGCCTCGATCCAGCCTCCTTCCTGGCTCCTCAGCCTCCAGGTTGTTGGCAGCCCCAGCGGACTCCCCGGTGCTGGCCCTGCCCTCGGCCTGCTCACAGACCTCCCACGACTCCTGAACGCCCTGGAACCAGTGTCTGATGCTCAGCCTGGGGTACCAAGCCCACAGGGTCGGCCTCTAAGCACTACACAGCCCTATAATTTGCTGCACAGCTGAACACGAGGGGCAAGACACACATTATTCACAAGGAACTTGTAAGGGATGAGTCAGGACACACATCACCCTCCAGAGCCTTCCAGCCACATGCAGTGCTCCCCACAAGCCTGCCTAGGCACGTCCCTGTCCGTGCCCCGCTCCATGCGGGTGTCCCTCCTGGCAGGAGCCACCCCCATCAGGCCCCACGCTCTCGAGGCCTCACCAACCCACCCGCTGTCTGGGGACCCGAGGGCTGGCCTGGGCGCCACGGCACACCTGTTTGCGCGTGGTGATGACCTGCCGGATGGCGTTGACGAAGCCGCTCTGGTCGTAGGGGATGAGGCCCATGAAGATCTTCTTCTTGGACGAGTAGAGCAGCATGAGCACGCGCACCTCGCAGGGGGAGATGTGGGGGAAGAGCATACACCCCGCCTGGGGGAGGGGAGCAGGCGGTCAGGGGCCCCCGGGCAGCCCAAGGGGCCAGATGCCCCTCCGAGCGTGCGCTTCGGGGTCTTCCCCCACCTGGTGAAGCTGGGGTTGGGGCTCCATCTCCCACTCAAGTCCCCCTCTTAATGCCAGTCCCATCCCTTAGAGCAGGACCTGCTTTGCCAGCAGGGCCAGAACAGCCTCCAAGGAGGCCCTGAGCGCAAACCCAGCTCTGCTTGTTCCCAGCTTTGTCACCTGACGCCAATCACCTCGTGTTCCTGGACCTCAGTTTTCCCATCTGTAAAATGGCCTCACAGTAGGCTCCACAGTCCGCGCCACATAAACATTTGTCACATGAGATCCTAGTGCCTCCTCGGTGGGACTTGGGAAACCAGGAGTCCGACAGAGCCCTCGGTGGCGGCTGTCAGGACCGAAGGGGCATGCGCTTCAGAGAATTCCCCAGGCTGTCCGGCCGCCTCTTGTTGCGTAGGGGCCACCTGCTCAGGGAACTTGTCCCCCGCACCTTCGGGACCCGTGTGCAGCGGGTCCTCCCAGAGCTACTGGTAGGACCAGGCAGGGGACATGCCGGGGGCACGGGAGGTGTGCAGACACTGGCCTTCCCTACAGCCTGGGGGCCTCGTTGGCCACGCACAGAGCAAGCCCTCTTGCAAAGTGGTGAATTAAGGGGACCAGTCTCTTCCCCAAGAGTCGACACCGCACCAGTCACAACCCCTGTCTGTCCAGCCCCTGACGGAACAGGAACTGCCTGGACACAGAAGGTCATGACAGGACCCGAAGACAGGAGGGGGCTAGAGGGGTGCTGGTCCCAAAAGGAACCAGGGACTGGAGGGGACCCCAGAGCTCAGGCCCATCGTGTCCTGGGCAGACAACCTACTCTCGCATGTCTCCCACACTGGCACCTGTCCCCTTCCACAACCCAACCACTCTGCCAAAACCGGGGGCAGATGCAACGAGGCCCAGACCACAGGGGCTGCAGAGACCAGGCTGAGATTGACGTCCTGGCGGCCCAGCACCTTAGTCTCCCCGGCTCGCGGCCAGCGGGCCTTTGCCACCCACACAAATCACTTCCCCGAGCACTTTGCACAAACTTACTCCTCGTAACAGCCCCACACAGGGAATCCGGGCACTAGCCCTGGTTGCCAGAGGAGGAAGGAGCCTTCCCACAGAACATTCTGCCCCCTACTGCCCCCGCCCCCCGCCACCCCAGCCAGGGTGGTCCCGCAGACGCTGCTCTACCTGAGACCCCCACTTCCAGAGGGACCAAGATGCCACGGAGAGAGCGTGCCCCCCAGGCCCCCACCTCCCGCTGTGCTAGGTCCTCACGCGCTCAGGAGGGGCCCCAACCCCCCTACTCACGAAGCCGTTGCCCATCACGCGGCAAAGCCCCTTGAGGGAGTCGCAGTCTCTGTTGGTGAAGTGGAACTGCGCCAGCTGGGAGTTGCGGAACAGGGGGCCCAGGGTGGTCTGTGGGCAACAAGGGGACCTCTGGGTCACTGCAGGGGGTGGGGGGAGGGGGGGTTGCTGGGGGGGGGGGGGGGCCCACAGGGGACCAGAGGCAGGTCTTACCAGCAGCTGCTGCGGGATGAGCTGCATGATCAGCTTCTGGGGCCACTGGTCAGTCTCCCTGCGGGGGGGTGGGGCAGAGTCAGGGGAGCCCCTCCCCCCGGCCGCCCCCACCCTGACACCCCTGGGCCCGCCTCTACTCACAGGTTCTCGCCCTGGTTCACGTAGGCCTGGCAAGGGAGGGCCCGCTTCAGTTTCGCGGTGGAGTCTGAGTAGGGTCGGCGCTTCTGTCGTGGGAGCAGGAGGGGTCACTGGACACGACCCAGATGCCCCAGGCTGCCCCACCCGCAGAGGCCAGACCCCAGCGCCCGCGGGGACTCACAGGAGACCGGCCGCAGCTCACCTCCTGCCACTCGAGGACGCCGCTCCAGGCCAGCAGTTTGTTGCTGAGCCGGTGCTCGCCCACGGCCAGGCCCCCGAGGGCGAGACCGGGCGAGGAGGGCCCGATGGGACCCAAGGCGCCGAACACCCGAGCACCTTGCTGCAGCAGAGGGGAGCAGGGAAACGGAGGCTGAGGGACCCGTAAGGGCAGGCTATCCCCCACCAATGTACCTCGCAACGTTCAGACCCAAATCCCCTGCTCGGCAACTCCCAGAACCACATCGAAAGCCCGTTCCCAGGGCTCAAGACCCCAAGCAGCCGGCCTCCACGCGCTTGTCCTGGCGCTACTCCAGAACCCGAGCCCCCCAGACCGTCCTCGGCACCTCCACACTGGTCCTTCCTCCTCCAGACCTCGCTCCAGCTGCGCGCTCGGCCTTGAACGCCCTCCCACCCCCTTCAGGAGATGCCATCCACTCTCGCCCCTGGCCTAAGCCAATTCTTAGTCCCTCTGTCCCCATCCAACTCCAAGAACTCTCTGGGGGCCCAGGGCCTCCTCGGAGCCTCCACCACGCACAGGCCAGCCCGCACCACGGCTGGCTGCCTGGCGCACTGGTTTGCCACGACACCCCCCACCCACCGCCCCGCTCAAAATTCTCCCAAAGCTCCGCGTGGCCCTCAAGACGAGTCCAGACGGACCCTCCCCCTCCAGCTCCCGCCAAGCCTTTCAGGGGGGTCATGGGCCCTCCTGCCCTGCAGACCCCATGCTGCAACCACACCAGGTCGACCTCAGGGGGGAGGAGATAAAACACACAGAGCCATCCAGGGAGGCGGGGACACTTCTGGAACGGGCAGTGTACCACCACCTGGAGGGTCTCAAACAACATCTCAAGAGCGTTTGCCGAACACCAGGAGAACGTTCCAGCAACAAAGCCAAGGAAAGCTCCACATTCTACTCTTCCCAGGGCACTCTCCCAGCTATCTTCTTTTTTTTTTTTTTTTTTTTTTTTTTTAAACCCAAAACATCTCAAAGCAAACAAGGTAAGGCTCTGGAACAGGCTGGCAGCGAGAAAGCCCCAGAAACCTCCCTCGTAAATACCTCCAAGCAGCAAAAGAAGTAACAGTTGTTACTTCCCATCGTACTACTGATGGGCGCCCTCCACATTTCCTACACAGCACACAGATGTCTCCGGTCCCAAAAGGACAGGCAGTAAAAGTGTTTCGTCGGGGCTTCAAAAGTAAACAGGAAAACCTGAGCCAGCATGTCCTCGATCTGGGCAGGTGATCCTGGAATTTGGGCAGTGGTATCAAACCAGGAAGAAAACCAGAGAGCATCCCGCTGTAGGAACGCGCTGGTGCGTGTCCCGGGCCGGGCGGCGTCTGAGATGCAGGACAGGTGCCGAAGCCCTGGGTTTGCAGGTGCCCCACGTGGGGCACAGAGAGTCTAACAACAGCTGCTCAGAGCACACAGCCAAAAGGCCTTTGCGGATCCTGGCGAATGCGCTCAAGGACCCAGGGCCGAGTAACCTGCAGGCGCACGTGTTTAAAGTCGGCTTTGGCTGGGAGGGCGAGCTGACCCCGCAGCACCTGAAAGATGTTTTGGTCTAGGACGTAAGCACCGGGAACACTTACCCAAAAGCTCAGGTCTACTGGTAACAAGCAGACGCGCCCGTCAAAGTGGAGGACAGTAAGGGGCTCCGCTTCACTGCAATCCCAGAGGAACTCTCCCAGCTGGGCAAGTGTGTGCAAAATCTGCCTGCGCCTCTGACATGTAAATTGTTTACAGGGAAGCCTGTTTCCTACTCCGGAGATCGAAAGCCTTACCAGCACATTTAAAGACCCCGGAAACGCTCCTGACAACTAAATGAGACTGCTGAACTGGGGGGGGGGGGCGAGCCAGTGGAGGGAAGGGATAAGTGTAAGTTGTGGGAGGCGTTCAGAGGCTTGATAACTACATTGAAGATCCCAGGAAGCCTCTTTAAGGCTCGTGTGGGGCCGCCACAGCGGCATGCCGTGCGCAACGACGGGGCAGTGGAGGGAAGCAGTGAACTCCAGAGCCAGCCTAGGGCAAAACGCACATCTGGGCGAGCGTGAAACGCCAGGATGTGCAGTTTTACTATTATTCCAAGTACGCCTGAACGTTTCTGCGTGCGTAATTTGGGTCTGGGGAAGCGGGTGTAGTTAATGTACCTGCAAAGCCAGGTGTTTACGTTGGGGCCTGCTGCACTCCGTACGGGCTTCCCTTACCTGGGCGGGCGTGCGAACCCTGGGCGCGCACGCCACGGGCTCCGTGCGGGCCCGGAGAAGAACACCCCCAGGTGCAACACCTGGGCACGCGAGTTTAAGACGCGGGCCCCTCTCGCCGAGGCCCCTCAGACCCCCCCCCATTTCCAGATTTCCTGCCCGAAGAGAGACCCAACTTTCCAATTGGAAAAACCAGCGTGCACGCCGCGCGCCCGCCCCCCACCCCGCGTTTAAATCGGGACGCGGAGTCAGCAGTAATTTGAGCCCTCCCCGCCCCCGTACCCCACCCCCGCCACCCCAGCCCAAACGCGCAACAAAGGGGAGAGCCCGGCGCGTACCACCCGGGGGGGGGTTCCACGGGGGAACCCGGTGCCACTCGGAACCACCCCTAGGGTCACCCGGAGACCCCAGAGAGGAGGGGGCCGCGGACAAAGACCCGAGCCCGGGGGAGGGGCCGGCGGGGGCGGGGCCGTGGAAAGCTCTGGAAAAAAGGCGGGGGGCTCACCATGGGAGGGGCCGAGCGGGCCCGGATCCGCGGCGGCTGCGGGCCGCGAGGGCTGGCCGGCCAGGAACGCGAGCGGGCGGCGCGCACCGTGAGGGGCCGCGGGGGGCGACCGCGACCCCCGAGGGGGCCCCCAGCGCCGGAGCGGTACGGAGCGCGGCGCGGACGGACCATGGCGGGCACGGGCCGAGTGGGCTGGGGGTTGCCACGGGCCACACGGGGGGCTGCAGGCTCCACCGACTGAGGGGCGCGGGCGCGCGGCTTCGGGGGAGACGGGCAGGGCTGTACCAAGCGCGGGGGACGCGCCGCTGGAGAGGGGTCGCCGCGGCCAAACCACTGCGGCGAGCGGGGGAGCGCGGCGCGTACCAAGAGCGTCCGCGAGGGGGCGTGGCCGGGCTGTACCAAAACAGGGCCGGGGGAGCCTCAGGAAACGGAGAGGGTGTGTGGGGCGGGGAACACGGCCATTGGAAGATACTCTGGGCGGCTCGAGCTACAGGGGGAGGAACTGAGGGGACGTTCGCGCAGCAGCTTCAGGGGGGTGTGGCGGGAGAGGCCATACCGAAGGATGCGGGGGGGATTGGTGAACGTAGAAGACGATACCAAGTTGGCTACGGGCTGGGCGGACAGAACACCGAGAGACCCCACCTTGAGTGCGGGACCCGCGGAGTCGGGACACTACACCAACGGACCTCAGAAAGAGGGGGAATAAGGAATAGGGGTCTGGGAGTAAAGGAGCCTACCTAGAAGTTTGGAGATACAGATCGTACCTTGCACCAGGGGAGGACTTAATGTTTGGAGGCCGTGACGTGGCTAGGTGGACCGGAGACCACAAATCCCAGAGGCCCTTGCGCGGCATGGGCGGGGCCAGACATCCCAGGACAGCCGCCAGTCATTGCTGTGTGCCCATTGGAGCCTGTCCCCCAGGCCCCGCCCACCGCTCTAGGTACCTCCTCCCGCTTCTTGCCGCCCGCTTTGCGAGGCTGGAATCACTGATTTACTCGTTCACTCAACTGTTGCATGCCTGCGTATTCACTTACTAGAAGTTGTGTAACATTTCTTGCTTAAATTTGCGTGTTTGAATCGTGGATAGTGGGTAACCGTGAAGTGGTTATGAGGATTAAATGAGTTAAAGTAGTAGGACTGGTACTCAGCATGGTAATGACTTAAATGTTAACTTTTTCTTTTCTTTTTTAAAGACTTTGTTAGAGAGACACAACGAGAGAGGGAACACAAGCAGGAGGAGCGGGAGAGGGAGAAGCAGGCTTCCCGCTAAGCAGGGAGCCCGATGTGGGGCTCGATCCCAGGACCCCGGAATCAGGACCTGAGTCCAAGCCAGACGCTTAACGACTGAGCCTCCCAGGCGCCCCTTAAATGTTAACTTTTTCTTTTCTTTTCTTTTCTTTTCTTTTAAATATTTTAACAGACAGAGGTCACAAGTATGCAGGGAGGCAGGCGGGGGAGGGGGGAAGCAGGCTCCTGGCTGAGCAGAGATTCCCAGGACCCTTGATCCCAGGTCCTCGATCCCAGGACCCCAAGATCATGACCTGAGCTGAAGGCAGAGGCCCAACCCACTGAGCCACCCAGGCGCCCCTAACTTTTTCTTTAAACAAACAAACAAACAAACAAAAAAGTCATTGTGAAGAACACCAGGTGATTAAAATAAAAACTTCTAAAAATCATTATTAGTACTATTATTTCCATTCTGTGCGGGCAGTGAGTATATTGTGATGACCAAAAGAGACTGGGTCCCTCAAGGAGCCCAAGATCCAGTGGAGAAGACAAATAATCACACTTTGGGATAAGTGTTACAAATAGTGCAAGTACATAGGACAAGGGCATGGTGGCCATGAAGAGCCAAGGAAGTGACCTTTACGCGGCCTGTGATTCTATTTGGGCTGGAAGAGTCCTACGATGAGGGAAGAGCGAGGGCGCAAATCCTGAGAGTGGAAAGAGAGTAAAGGAAGTGAGCATGGCTGGAGTGGATTGAGGGTAGAGGAGAGTGGTGGATATGAGGAGGTGCCAGGCAGGGCCCATAAGCAGAGTCCTACGGCCTTAGGTTGGAATTTGAATTTTAATCTCTCTGCTGGAGAACCTTCGGAAGGTTTTCAACAAGGGAGTGGGATAGACTCACTTGTTCTTAAACAGTTCGTTCATAGAATGCACAGAAACATGCACACAGTATTCTGCAAGTCTACGGAAACACGTGGGACCCACAGTTGCCTCTGAGGAGAGAAGGCAGCAGACCAAGGGAATGGGGTCACCGGCGTGGAAGGGAACTCAATTTACTCTCGGACTATTTGGAATTCTCTCCGGACACAAACGTTGCCTACTGAAAAATAATCTTTGAAATATTTACATCTTTTCTGAAGGATTCCCCTGGCTGCAATGTTGAAAATCAGATGGAAGGGGAGGAATGAAAGCAGAAGGGCAGAGAGAAGACAGTGCCAATAATCCAGACAGGAGGCACAGACGGGATGGACGGCAGGCAGAGTGGCCACAGTGGAGGTGATCATTTGCACAATTCATTTCAAGCTGGAGCCCAAAGGACTTGTGTAGAGAGCGAGAGAAAGAGGAGGGAAGGATGAGGCCAAGGTGTTTGCCTATTACAGGGATGCTGCTCTGTAAGTCAGGGAGCTGACTCTGGGGGCAGATGGAAATCCCTTCTTCTGTGATATGTTAATTTTGAGATGTTGACTAAGCAATGTGGATAGGGGAGGCGGGAGATGCAACTTCAGGAGTCTTCCATCTCCAGTCAAGGAGACACTGAGTCCACAAAGAGTACGTTTGTAGACAGGGACCAGGATACGCCATCCCTTTAGAGGTGAGAGCCCTGAGAACAACCAGCAGATGAGAAGGAGGGGTGGCCCGTGAAACAGGCGAACCCCTGAGCCACAAAGTATTTCCAGTCCTTGTTTGCCTCACCCACAAAGCCGCCTGCCCAGGCCTGGACTTGGATTGTGACCAAATGGAGTCTGTGCTGTCTGGACGCAGCCCGCAAGTTAGATACCAGCAGTTACCTCCAGACCCCTGACAATCACCCTTGTCAGAACAACGGAGCACCGGCAGCAGCAAGGAGACAGAACCACGGGGACAGAAGCATCCTTAATTTCCCTAAGTCCTCATTTCTCACCATTCTCTTTGGTCCAAGACTTCACAATCTCTTGCCTAGATAACACCCTCCTAACTCTTGCCACCATGTCTCTCCCTTCGCTAACCAAAATACTCCAGTGGCTTCCCAATCCCCTTAGAATTCAACACAAACTTCCCCTAATGCTTGTGTGGGACCCCTGCTGCTCTATCCAGACCAATCTCTTCCACATCCTTCCTGCTCTCCATCATCCTTCAACTCCCGTGAGGACACACACGTGGGTAGGAATTCCCAGGATCATCTAAGCAGAGAAAGTTGTGCCAGGATACACTCCAGTGAGAGCAAAATGGAAACATCCCAGAATGCGAAATAAAAATGTAGGCCGGAATTCTAAGTCATACTACAGTATGGCCCTTGAAGCCAACCGGCTTACCCGGTGTGCCAGTCTGAAAGACAGCTGCCCATTTCATCAGTGGAACCTGCCACCCAGGCTGGCAGGCCAATATGACTAAGCCATTCTGCTCCCATCTGTGGTGCTGTACGCTTCCTGCAAAGTAGCGGTCTGTTACCAAACCTGTTTATGCCAGTTGCTTTAAGTTAATAACTTAATCCTATCAAACCACTGAAATATTAATTCAAGAGAGTTGTTTATATGATAAGCAGGTTGCCTGCATTGGAGAAATAAAAGTGAGTTACTTAAAAAAAAAAAAAAGACAAAACAGGGGCGCTGGGGTGGCTCAGTTGGTTGAGCATCTGACTCTTGATTTAGATTCAGGTCATGATCTCACGGGTCATGGGATTGAGCCCCAGGTTGGGTTCTAAGCTCAGCAGGGAGTCTGCTTGAGATTCTCTCTCTCCCTCTGCCCCTCGTCCGCTTCCAGCAGGATTTATTGACTTTAGAGAGAGCCTGAGAACTTGTGAGAGCCTGAGAACTTGTGAGACCCAGTGGCAGGAGGGGCAAAATTCAAGCTGGGACACTTAACCAACTAAGCCCCACCAGGCGCACCAATTAATAAATCTTAAAAAAAAAAAAAAAAAGAAAAGAAAAGAAAAACACAGAACACTGGAAATGATAAATGACTTGTGCTTTGTGGATGTAGTTTATACAGCATTATGATGTTGTATGATAAATGGGAGAGAAAGATTTAAAAGAAAAGGTCCTGGTCCTACATAAAGAGAAGAGATGAATGCTTAAAGGCTCTCGGTTAAAACAAAATATTTAAAGTGTTTTGATGCTCATGAGTGCTATCTGCCGTACATTTCTAACTCCACTTCGCCCAGCAACGAAAAGGACTGCACTTCCCGACCCCATTATGGTCCAGTGGGGCCATGTAATTAATTCTGGCCAGTGACATATAAGCAAAGTGACATGTGAATTCAGTATGGAGCATTTAATTACTAGTGCGAGACCAGAGCCCTCTGTGCATTTCCCGTGCTGCTGACCATATTTAAGATCTATCAGGAGCGGCTCCAAGCTGACCCTCTATGCCCCAGGAGGGAGGAAACCCACCTTTGCTATTTCAAGTCCCTGCAGTTTAGAAGTTGTTATTGTAGCCCATCCCAGCCTACCTTGACGTAGACATGTCTTTTCCGAATAACCCTGTTTAACCAAGCTGACTGAATTTACTAGGAGGGCAAACTGGGAGTACATACGGGTTGGATGTAGACAAGAACACAAAGGCAACACGGACAAATAAGAATGCTTTACACGACAAAATGGGAGTAAAGAGATCTCTGTCTTGTAGATTTTTTGCTTTTGGTTTCACAATTTAAAAATAATGGTTTAAAAAAAAAAAAACAATCTGGAGATGCCCGGGTCGCTCAGTCGGTTGAGTGTCTGTCTTTATCTCAGGTCATGATCTCAGGGTCCTGGGATGGAGACCCAGGTCAGGCTCCCTGCTCAACGAGGAGTCCACTTCTCCCTCTCCCTCTGCCCCTCCCCCACTGTGCTCATTCTCTCCCTTCCCCCTCCCCAGCACTCTCTCTCTGAAATAAAATTAAATAAATCTTTAAAAAAAAACAAACCATCTGCCTGATCCGTGCTCTCCAGGCTCTATATATTCTTCCTTAAACTTTCTCATCATGATTTGTAATCATCCGTGGCTCCCACATTAGCCTGTGAGCTAGGGACAAGGACCATGTCTAGCTTGTTCATAGCGATGTTCCAAAAGGGCAGCACGGAGCACTCTAGGTCCGAGTGCACATCTCCCTCGAATGCCCTCCATTCCTCTCCAGAAGTGGTGTGATGCGTTCAACACCCCGTTTCCCCTTCCAGGGCACACCA